AAAAATATTTTTTTTTTCTTGTTTGTTTAAGACCTGAGTGTGGCAGGACTACCCGCCGAACTTAAGCATATTACTAAGCGGAGGAAAAAAAAAAAAAAAAAAAAAAAAAATCCGCCTGAAAGAAGATGAAAACGGAAAAAAGAGAGGAGGATCGTAGAGAATAAAAACAGAATGAAGCAGGAAAAAAAGATCCCAACAGGTAAAGAGAAGGACCGTGAATATGCTCAACTGCTACACTGGATGTGTCCAGCAAGAGACCGAAAGGGACAGAGAACCGAAACAAAAAAAAATGTCATCCATTTCTTTAAAACCTTCTTCATATATTTGGTTTGTCTCTATCTTTCCACGGTTCCCGCAGGCCACCGTGCTTCGCAGCCTAAAAGTGCCCCAACTGCCGTACCCCCCCCCCTCCCTTGTCCAGGGCCACGTGCCTGCGTGACACCAAGTCGTGCGGAGGGGAAGCAGCTAGAGCAGTGAATTGATTACTGGATGCAGAAAGGGAGAGTGAACTAGAAGGGAAGGGGGAATGACGCAGCAGCAAAAACAACGGGAATGGAGGAGGGGGAAAAGGACGAGAAAAAGTACTGGTGAACAAGGCCAAGAAACGGAAAAAGGAAGATGTGAAAGAAATATGTTTGGCCGAAAATGAGAGCATCCATTCAGCTTGGGGACATGCACTTTTTCTTTTTAATGCTTTGATTTTTTTTCTTTTTTGGTTGTGGGAAAAGAGCACGCAACAGCGGCAAGAGCGGCCGTGAGTGCCCTCTGGAACGGGGCGATGGTGCCTTTCCCCTGTTTCCTCACTCTTTCTGCGTCCATGACTCTTGCATCCTCTACCATTTGTGTTTTCCGCCCGCCTCTGGTACCGACTGGCCATCTACGCCGGTGACGGGGAAAGGAAAGGAGAGGAAAAAGAGTAAAAGTAATCACGGGAAACGACAAACAAGCATACACACACACACACACACACACACACACACACACACAATGACACGGTCGGCGGCGCGAACAGCATTGGATGGAAACAACGAAGTTGGCGTTGTGGACGCTTCTCTCCCTAAGCGTTTGTTTAATCTTCTTGATGCGAAATCAAAGGAGCGGGTTCTGCGGTTGATAACGACCTTCCGTGGCTCGACCCTGATGGAGCAGGAGGCTTTTGCGCAGGAGGTTGGGGCTACCCTGGCAGCAGAAGAGCAGGAGAAGCAGGGGCCAGGGCCACTGACAAGTCGATTGCTAAGCGGCCCGGCGCTGCAGGTGCGATCACGTGACTGCAGCTACGTTGCCTTGGCTGAGCCCAAGCTGCAGTTGAATTCTGCGTCAGAAACAGTCGCCATGATCAAATCTTTATTGAAGGAGCGGCCGTTAGTGTCTGCCCGTACGGAGCACGCGGGGGACGAGTCAGAGCCACACACAGAATGTCACAGTCAATCTACGGCAGGCGCACTGGATGATGGGGCTGCTGATGCCAACTCTCAACATGAGGTCTCGCCACCCAAAGAATACAGGGCAGTTGCTGTCGCTAGCGTTGATGGGGAAGAGAGAGAAAATGATTCTCAGGCACCTAGTGTCTTATTCCGCACTCGCGGTTATCAAGCGCTGCGCCTGGCCCGTGGGGAAGAGTGCCTTTCTGGCACGGAGGCTGATACTAGCACAATGCGTTTGGTGCTGAATCTCACCGGTATGCCTCTCGATGAGGCCGACTTGTGGGAGTGGTTTGAAATATTGGATGTCGCGCGAAACGGCACCATTGGCGTGGTGCCCTTCCTACAAACCATCAAGAATTTAGACCGTGGCTTTGGCCTGACAGAGAAGGCGGATCAGGAATTTGCGCGGGATGTGGAGGCCATTGCAACGGACGGGCAGCTAACGTTTGAGAAGTTTGCGTATTTGGTGACGCGTTTTCTCAGACAGTAGGTGGAGAGCGTGGGACGCGGCTATAGCGCTAAAACTGAGGCGCAAACAAATCGTAAAGGGAAAAAAAAAGGAAGTTTATTGAAGTTATGAGTATGATCCGCTGGTGTGGGTGGGAAGAGCATGCTCTAATGTACATTATTTACTTTCAGTGAAAGACTGGATTTGCGTGTGTGTGCTCACATGTAATATATATTTATATATACAGTAAAAGCTAGGGATGTATGAAGTCAGTACCCCCCCGCGGGAGAGGGAGGGAGGGAGGGAGGGGAGGGGGGGGGGGAGAGAGAAAGCAGATGTTTATTTATTTCTCTTTTTGTTTCAGCATATGGTTTTTTTGTTTGTGCTTTTTCACTTTCAAAAGAACGTCTGGGGCGAGCCGACGGGGTTTTAGAGCACTGGTGGAGTATTCTGGAAGCGACAGGCGGAGGGGGCGCGATGCGGTCTTGTGCTTGGGGGTTTGATGTCTGCTTCGCCTCCTCACTTCCCCCCTCACGCACCCTTTGCGTGTGGGTGTCTGCCTCTGGCGTATGTGGGGCCGTTGGAATGTTCGTATATTGTTGTTTTTTCTTTTTATTTTCGTCGCCCCTCGCTGCCGCTGCGTGGTTGGTGCGTGGTTTCTTTGCGACGTCGCCGAGGCTGTGCCCCCTCCTCCGCCTATTTCTGTGCCTTTTGCCTGGCAGTGCTGTAGTGGAGCGCCGCAGCGCAGCAGGAAGCTAACGAAAACTAAAAAATAAAAGCAGAAGTAAAAATAATAAAAGGGGTGGGTAAACCACACAAAAACAAAAGTGAATAAAAAAAAAAAACTACGCACCGCCACCCACACGCAAAGAAAAAAAGGAAAGATGCAACATCTCTTTGGGTCTTTTCTGTTGGAGAGGCACAACGCCAGGGGTGGTGGTGTCAAGCACAAAAGGGTGATGCGTCGAGGGGGGGAGGGCGCCAGCGGGATGGAGTCACGGCAGGGACCAGAGTGTGACGAGTGTGGTGGCATCTGTGACGAAGCAGACATGCTTCAGGAGGTGGACTACGTTCCGGCGACATATCTGCATGGGAAGTACGTGCTGTTATATCTGGCTGACCCTACAGGCAACGGCATTGCTGTCTATAAGCAGACAGAAGATTCCGCAGCGAGTTCACAGACACTATGCACAGGAAACCGTTCTCTTTCCACATGCGCCTCTCCAAATATGCCTCCGGTGGACGTCTCTGCGGCAGGGTCGACACTTGCGGCAGGAGCACCTGCGTCTGTCCAAAACACGCACCTAAGCCCTACTGCATTCACTTCTGCAGGCGCCACATCCCAGCGCACCAGAACCAAACTGTCGATTTTTTACGAACTTCTGATCTGTCAATTAACGGCGACTTTATCACAAGAGAGGAAGCCTGTAGTTCCCATTGTTGTTTTGGAAGTACGTCAGCCCGGTGACCCGGAAGAGGATCCACTGACAAGCGATGCTTCAACAGAGCAACAAACCATGGCAGTAACCACGACCACCACCGATGCTGTGGGCGATGCTTTTCCTCCTTCTATGGATTACCTAACTAGAGAGAGTGATACGGTAATACCGTTCCTGGGCGTTTCTACACCCAATCTCGATGCCTTACTCAATAGAACATGCAATAGAAGCCCGTTCTTTGGTGGGTGGTTTTCTTTGGAGAGTTCAAGTGCATACCGGCAAGTCATTCAAAACTTTGACGTTAGTTCTTGGCCATCCGTGTTGCTTTTTGACCCTGCTGGACGACTGTTGACCACCCACGCACTTAGCCACATTGAGCGGGAGATGAAGTCCGATGTGATGCAAAACTATCATTTACGTCCGCTGATGAATTGTGAAGCGAAGCAACAGTGTCGTGACGCCAGTTTCCACTCGGATTTTCCGTGGTGTCTGGACGAGACGCAAAGCGATAGCGGCACAAAACCGGAATGCTTTGCGGACATGCTTTCGGTTTCATCCTTCCTGAGGCGCCTCATTCTTCATGCTCGCCGCATTGGGAGCATCCTTGAAGATGACTTTCTGTTTGAACCCGAATACATGCCTGAAGGCGAGGAATGCGGGACGTGCGATGCTTGCTTAGATGGGGCAACCCATGTGGCCCTTTATTTTGGTGCTGACTGGCACCCGTCGTCGAGACAGATGTTACCGCGACTACACCACTTCTGGCTTGCCACTAATCGCGGCAATGAGGATGACGGTAATGACGGGGAACGAAACAAAGAAGGAGGTTCCTGGGATATGGGGCGTAAGACGTTTAACATGTCCCTTTCGGGTGGGGATTTACCACTTGAGCAGCAGTGTATGCTCTCCTACCAGATGGAAGGGTACGGCGACTCCCACCGCAGCGCAAGTCTGCTCGATAGCGAGACACGGGGGTTCTCCTCAAGTTTATCTTTGATGACACCGCTGCAGTCACCAAAGAGGAAAAAGTTCCTTTGCATCAGCCCCCATGTGAATCTGGAGGGCAAGGGAGCGCCGGAAAAGGCATCCAGCAAACAGATGGGCGGAGAAACAGCACATTCCTTCTCACCGCTGGATTCACATCTTCGATACCAGCAATTACCAGCATCAACACCGGAACGGCAGTCAGAACAGCGCGTGGAATTGGAGGCGGAAGAGGAGGAAGGGGGGCAACCTGTTCATCTTCAGGTTCTTTACCTGAGCTGTGACACTGACAAGAGTTCACTCTATTCCTTTCTCAATGACATGCCGCCCTCGTGGCTATGCGTTTCGTCTCTCTTTGGACCCGTCTACAGAAAGATGATTGAGACATGTTTGGAGCTCTTTAATGTCTCTGTCTTCCCTCGTCTTGTTGTCACGGCGGTGAAGCGTGGGCACGATGCCTCAGGGCCCGCCAATGGGTCCGCCTTGCCAAAGCCACCGTCGACCCTCACATTCCACGTCGCAGATCCTCGAGGAGAGGAGGTGGTTTTACGCTATAATGGGGCAAAAAGGTTTCCGTGGAGAGAACAGCAGCCGGTTAGTTTGCCACAACTTCCGTTTCGCTGCCCTGTGGCGAAAGAATTCACTTCGCTAACTGAATCTTGCGATGCAATACGGTCGCTTCTTGCAGAGGGAGGGTGTCTATTCCTGCTCTGTGGCACAGGGAAAGTTTCACCGGAACTTCACAAGCTTTGTGCCACTGCTCTACAGGAAGCAAGTCTCTGGTGGTCGCAAGAAATGTGTCTTTTTGCTAGGCGATTAGAACATCGTTTGATGCTATCGTTGCGGGAATCTTCGGCTCCTACAGACCATTGCGCATCTGAGCAGGGGCCTGGACCGCATCACCTGACACTCCTCTCAGATGCTTATGCTTCTGTGACACCAGCCACCACCTCGGTGGAGTCTTTTGCGGTGGCAGCAACGGATGAGCAGGTGCCTTATTTGTCTGTATATTTTATTGACGCCGTCGTGGAGGAGGCTGAGACACATAATAACCCTGCTGCAGACTCTCAGGACAAAACAGATGGTGATTGGAGTTGTAGCAACCGTGTATCTGGGGAGGAAAAGACCTTACTGCAGGAATATTTTCTTTCTGCGACCCTGGAAGATAAACAGTTGCTACCCCCAGTTGAAGGTGAGCCATTTTTGCTTTGTGTGCATTGGCCTGAGCGACGCGCTGCCGTGCTTCGTCAAAAATTCGAATATGAAAACAGTTTATTACAGGCGTCTGCAGTATCCTTGCGTTCATCCAGCAGTTCCGCCACCACGCCGTCACAACCGAATGGCTGCTCCCCATCAACGAATGCGGCGTTTGTTGAGGGGCGGCCGCTGGGCACAGCTGCGTTGCCAGTAACCACCACTGAGCCTTGCTCGTGTCATAGCTCCCTTTCTGCAACATTGCGAGGGGAATCTTCACCCGAGCAGTACCTATCGAACCCGTTGTGCTCACTCTCACAAGTAAAGGCATTTGTAGCCCAGCATGCTTTTCACTGACGTTGTTGACAGGATTTCAGAACATAATTAGAACCAATTCTTGTTGCTGTTGCTATGATGATTTAATGTACTTCCTTTTCGTTTCTCTCTCTTCTTTTTTGGGGTTGGGGCCTGTGCGAACCTCTTGGGTGTCTACCTTTTTTTCCTCACCTTCATTTTTTCTTTCTTCCTTGTTAATTTTTGTGTTTTTATTCGATTTTTTTTTAAAAAAAAAACTTGTTGAGGTACCTGCACGCCGCCTCCCTTCATGTGTTTCCACCCATGTCGTGCCCCTTTCGTTGCTTTTCTCCCCCTTTTGTCGGTAGAGAACCTCCGGGTTTTTGCTGTTTCACTGAGAGCCAGTCAAAAGCCGCAGTGCTGCTGCGATGTGGGTTAGTGTGATGCTCCCGTCGAAACACAAACAACCAGAAGAAAAGGAGTGAGAGAGAG